ATACACACTTGGCTATAGGAAGTTCAGGGACAAGGTCCTGGGGTGAGCTGCTGTTTTCTTGGGACACAGGACATTTCTCAGCCTTTTGGCTCAAAGTATGTTCTAGAACACTGAACAACAAAGGAACAGAAGGATGGGAGGCAGCACTCACATAAGAACAGAGCAATGTACACACACAGACTCCACCCCCAGCCCATCTGACTCCAGGAAGTGCCCTCCTCTGGGAGGAGGCTGAGGTCTGGGAATAAAAGCAGAGCAGACACCAGAGGAGCCAAGCTTGGCAGCAGTCTGAGAGTCAAACCTCCTCTCCAGAGGAAGAGCCTCGCCCACAGTAGAGACCATGGAGTTCACCTCAGCCCCTCTCCACAATGCACAGGTCTCCTGGAGGGGACTCCTGCTCACAGGTGGGGAGACTTTCCTCTGCAGTAGAGAGTTGGGGAGTTCACAGACTGGATGGGGTCTTCTTGGAGAGGGAAAGAGCCTGAGAAATGACATCTGGCTCTGCTTGAAGCCTGAGACCATCAGGAAGCTCACAGTGGATGGGAATTGGGAAGTGGGGAGAAAAAATTCAGTTGTTCCCCATTGTAGGTTTATCAGCACTGGCCACTGTATCCTGAAGACTCAAGTTGACAACTCCATCAGGGTGACTCTCCAAGTAAAACTCAAAGTGGGCGAGTAAACAACATCATTATGTAGGACCCTGAGAAATCTGCAAATAAACCCCAGGCTCTGGGACACTCATTTGCTCACAGGTATCTGAGCCCATTTGAGGTAGAGAGGTTTGAACCAAAATCAAACTAGTCCTCCTCACAAAGCCCTGCTACTATTTGGCAGGAAGATAGAGCAGCAAGGACATCTAGAAGGTGGGCCCAGGGGTTGACAAGCACTTCAGAGGAAACAGAGCAGAGAAAGGTCAGAATGTGAAGGCACAGAGTCTTTTAGAGGAGGAGATCAGACAAGACATGCTACACTATGGTTTCTGAGTGTGATGAGGGATCTGAGGGCAGTGAGGGGTGAGCTGTGTAGACACTATGAAGCCAGTTTCATACAGTGGAAAGATTCAGGGGGTACTGATGAATGGGGGTGATGCTGCTGACCTCCCGTCACCAGGACACACACACCAAGGCTGAGAGTTAAACACTCACATTTCACATTTCTACCAAAAGCAAAAGTCGTAATAATGATAGACTTTTTTTCTCTCTTCCCTCTTAGTCTCTCTTTTAACCTGCTGGACCTCTCCCACCACTGCCCAATACATGACACTTGAAGCATTTCCACTCATTGTTGCTGTAGGGAATGACGTTCTTCTAGTTGTCCACGGTCTGCCCTTGCAATTCACTCGCTTTTACTGGTACGAGGAAAAAAACTCTGCGAAGCACGTGATAGCCACAATTACTCTTCAACCAACTTTAATAGTAACTGAGCCTCAGTACCGTGACAAAATGACAATGTACCAAAATGGATCACTGCTCATCAGGAATGTCAGTAAGAATGACACAAGAGGCTACAAAGCAACAATGACGAATCTATACTCTGTTGATACGAATCTATCCGTGGATTTTCAAATATACTGTGAGTAATTCTCTGTAACCTCTGGGTCATGGGTGGAACTAATCCTACTTCACCTATAGAGCTGTCACTCCTGGATGACTCTGTGTCATGGTCCCAACATTGTGATACAAACATTTAGTAAAGGACACAGTGGAGAAAATGGCAATAAATCAGGATGCCCCCTTGAATCCACCCTCAGAGAAGAGGCAGTGAGGTAACTGAGCTCAGGCATGTTAGACTCTTCCCAGGGTCTTAGATGCTCACCATGAACATGGCCTTGAGGAAGACCCTTCAGGACTCAGGCAGGGCCTGGCTGAGGAAACCATGAGAGTCTCACCCCTAAATAGCTTTTCTCAAGAATTCCATGCCAGACTGATCCAGGAATCCCAAAAAGCTTGTAGACTAGGTTGGAATTTGATCTCCTGTTGGAGCTGACAGGGGACAACAATGGATCAGAGACTGGGAGCCTGCTGATAGCCTCTGAGAGCCATGTCTGAGGTAGGTCACCTGGGCATCTCCTCCTGAGACTCAGTGTGCTCAGCATAGGTGGAAGGTAGGAAAGGCAATCAGCCAGCTCTTCTGATGGTCTTCTGAGACCTCCCAGGAAGGTCAAGAGCCCTAAAGGGATAGAAGAAAAAGTGTACAAATGGCAGCTCCTTGCCTCTAGGGGTCAGGCCTAGGGATTATTTCCTGCAGGCAAACACTAATAGACACTGCTTGGTGGAGGGAAGGTTGTTGTTCACATTTAAGGTTAACTTGCAGGCATGGAAATGATCATTTACCATGTGTCCTATTATAGGGAATCTGAGACAGGAAACACAGTCACTGAGTCAGGGTCACACAGGTTGTGGATAGCACAAGCTATCTGTCCACAGGCACATCTCCAGCCTCCCCACCATGGAAATGGTACTAGGTACCTTCACTCTTCTAGATCATTTTGTGGAATCAGGACTCCCTTCTTCATGTGAACCAACATCAAACACCTGACAAGAATGGCCCATCTGTGACTCAGCCTGACCTAAATGTCAGCCAGATCCTGAGCTGTATGAGATCTCTGACAGGCTGTCAGGTTTCTCAGGGAAGCTCAATGGGAAGACTAATCATGAACTATCTGTAGGACAGCCCTGAACAGCAAAGGCTGGGAGGGCTCTGGTTTATACTCAGGAGGGGAGGTCAGTGTAGCTGGAGGGACTCAGACCTTGTGTCTCAAGGCAGGCATTGGGTCCCTGAGGACCAGGAGATAAAATGAGGCATCTCATTCTAAGTCTTGAGTCTGACCATCACCAAACACTGCAGTTCAGTTCACTTGTGAGAGTGTTTTCTTCTCTCATACACAGCGCAGGAGGTCCCATTATCTCTAAGCACTCAGCCACTCCCTCTGCCTGTAATTTGCTTCCTACCTGATTCTTTAAGGATCTGGATGGCTGAAAGTTAAGAGACTGTCTCTGGTTGTAAGAGGCCTTTGCAAGAATCAGTAGTACCACACAGGGCAATCATCTCTCTGTGGTCAGCACAACACCACTACCCAAGACCAACATCACAACCAACAATTCCAATCCCATGGAGGGTGAGGACTCAGTAGCATTAATGTGTGAGCCTAGGACTCAGAATACAACCTACCTGTGGAGGATAAATAATCAAAGCCTCTCAGAAGAGGACAGGCTGAAGCTGTCTGAGGACAACAGGATCTTACTTTACTCAGTGTTGTGAGGACTTATGGTGATATTTTAATTGTACTGAAATGTGGTTTTATTTGTATGATAATAAATAAAGTTGCCTGGGGGTCAGAGCTAATAGCAAGCCATAGCAGAAACTGGGCGGTGGTGGTACACACCTTTAATCCCAACTCTTGGGAAGCAGAGAGCTAGGTGGATCTCTGTGTGTTGAAAGATACAGCCAGCATGGAGACACACACCTTTAATCTCAATACCAACCATAGAAGACCTGGGGGTCTGTACAGACAGGCAGTGACAAGGAGGTCATGTGGTTGGGTTTACAACCAATGACAAGGCAGAACAGAAAGTCAATAAAAAGCACAAACACTCAGGAAGTAGGTCTCTTGCGGAGAGGTAGGACAGCAGCGACAGTGAAGGGTAAGGTTTTTAATCTCAGCTCTTAGCTATTGCTCTGACCTCTTGGCTTTCATCTCTGAATCGGCTCTGTGTTTCTTATTTAAAAAGATGGTTACATCTACAAGGACTGACACAGGAACCTATGAATATGAACCTGGAACCCAGTGAGGAACTCCATTAGTGACCCATTCTCTCAGAACATTACTTTAAATATTTTCTGTTTCATCTTGGCCCCAACTGCCTAAAAACAGAGGGCTAGAGCTACTATATTCAGTCCCAGTCCGCTTGGGTTTATGACACAGACCTACCCTACAGATACCTAGGCTGCAAGGGCATCCTGTTCCAGGTCAAGCTTCTGTGGACATGCCCAGCATTGAGCTTTAATGGGATGCAGGGAATTCTGCCTAGAAGACTCAGGGTGATGGAGACAGGGGACATGTCAGACTTAGTCTCAGTGCACTCAAGTGTGTGCAGTGGGGATATCTGTGTGTTGTACTTGAGAAAGATCAGGGCTTGTGAATGCTGAATGAGTACCCTTCTGCTAATCTGCACCCCAGCTCTGAATAGGACCTGCTCAACTGAGGTTAAAGCACAGCTCAAAGAGATACTATGTCCTTCTACAGAACAGGATTTCCCCTTCCCTAAGCTGACATCACATGTGACTTTATTCTGTTTGCTCCAGATGATTTAAATGTCCTGATCATATCCCCCTCAAATATTCATTTACATTCAAGGACAAACCTCACATCTGCCACACAGATGCTAACTCACCTGTACAGTACTCTTGGTTTGTCAATGGAGAGCTCCAATCATCCTCCCAAGAGCTCTATATTCCCAACAACCATACTAATAATAGTGGATCTTATACCTGCCTCATCTATAGCTGTCACTGTCCTCAGTAAGACCACACTCAAGAACATTACAGTCCTTAGTAAGTACATCTCTGAAATATCAGCACTAGGTTTGGAGTGGAGTCTTTTGGCTTTCTGGGAAGATGCAGAAGCATTTAATTTCCAGCCCATGTCTATGGGAACAAGCAAAACTCAGTCTTCCTCCATGCCACCTGCTCCATCCCTATGTCTATTGACCTCCTGGTTCTCTGGTTTCTGGCTGAGAGGGATGGAGCCTGCAATGTGAGGAGGAGGTTCTTCCAGTCTTGGAAAGCCTTAGGTTGTGTGAGGGACTTTCCATGGTTAGGAGAGCCTCCAGGTCAGGATTTCTTTCTGTGCCTAACACAAGCTTTCTTGTCCCCTCCATTTTCATTTTATGACCTCCATGACCTACAAGGAACACCCAGGGATTTCAACTGTGCTCACTTTCTTATTCTCCAAATTCGAAGAGAAATTTCCCCCCACATCGGGACTAGACCTCCTCTAGCTAGCATGTCTACTCCTGTCTCTGTGTGGGGTGCCTGGCTCAGCTCTGACTCCATGGGATGGGAAGAGTGGGTGGAGAAGGTCTCTGGGAGCCCTGTTCTGAGTCAGGGTGAAATCATGTCACTGACAGTTGATGATGTTCTTTTGCTTACTCTTCTCAGGTTCTAAAAAAAAAAAAAGTTGGCTGAGTGTGGTGGCACACACCTTTGATGCCAACACTGAGTAGGTAGAAGAGGTAGATAGTGTGAGTTTGGAGGCCATCTGGGTCTACATAGCAAGTTCCAAGCAAGTTAGAACTGTACAGTGAGACCCTGTCTCAAAAATTATCAGCACTGAGTATTAGAGTGGCAGGCTGTGGTCAGTACTGTGCCTCTTTACGTCTCTGTAGTATTTAATCTATATCCATGGGACAGGAAATACAATTTTTCTACAAACAGAAATTCTTCAGTTAGGGATTTCTCCCAGTCCTGAGGTATAGCCTTTAACATCTTTAAGATTAGCTGGGCCATCTTAACCCTATGACAAATTATTTAATAAAAAATAAACAGAAGTCTATTTCATAAAAGAGGGACCTGATAATTCACACTCACAGAAAGTGGGAGCAAGAATTCCCACAAAAATCATTGGGAAATACATTTCCCCACCATGAGATTTCTGGACAGGT